TCATTAGCTTCGTCATCTGTGGAGAATCTGGATTCGTTTGCTTATTGGACACATGGAAAGTTGGACTGTGTGATTGTTCTGGATGGAAAAATATGAACACGTTTTGAACGGACATTCACAAACCTTCTCTTAAGACGTCTGCTCTCTGGTGTTTAGTGGATTTATCTGAACCTCCTTCACGCTCCCTCCGTGGTGGCATTACATCCTCTGGCTTGGTAAATGTCTGGTGACCAAACCGGACCAGAACAGAGCAAAAGTGGATCACAACCCAGAAATGAGAAGCTGTTCTAACTGAAGGGGAAGCGTGGACCGGCTGAGGAAACCCGGAGATGACAGAAGAGAAATCAGGAAGGAGGGAGGAGGATTAGAGAGAAACGGGATGGAGCGCTGAAGAAGAGAGAACGGGTTTAAATATTCAGGTGTGAAATCAAAGGTGAGAGACAAAGACGAGAAAGTGTGAGCAGCCCGGTGGCTGACTGACAGACAGATGATGACGGAAACAGAATCGGGTGTTGCGAAGGAGGACGGTCGCCTGGCCGAGGTGAGGAGAGATGAAGAAGAGGGAGAGCTGAGCGAGGAAACAGCCAGATGGAGAATAGTCGGAGCCGAGGTGAAGGTGTGGGGCTGCTGGCTCCCTGCCTGCTTCTCAGGTGGTTATTCACGTGCTCTCTGCTAGTGAACAAGGAGGACTGTGGGTAGGGACTGTGCTTCGAAGTCTGGCCTGAGGGCAAACCAGTGCACGTTTGCATATGCGCACTGTACATTTTTCATCCAACGCCATTAGTCTGCTCCTCTATCAGCTGTCTGAAACTAAACACACATGGGACGGAGCCCGACAGACGTTGGCGACGTTCACTATAACCACAGTAGCTGTGTCTGGCCTTGGCACTGGGGGCACTGGGGGCACTGGGGCTCCCGGGGCTCCCGGAGCCAGGGGCGTGACGCTGCGCTCTGGGCAGAGCCTCTGGGACAATCCACATCTTCTGCCCAATACTTTGTGGTTTGTGCAGTTCTAGGCACAAAAACCAACACTTTGTGTTGATATGCTCTCAGTCACGAACACGCGCCTGCACACTGAGGCCCCTCACACTCCTCTGTGCATGTTGTGTGAAGGGCACAATAGTAAAGTTACAGTATGGTTCAAATCAGGATGACAACACAATCAATAGGTTGTAAATGTCTTTTGTCATTCCACATCTTCATGTGCAGTGTCATACTGCAGCACTGGGGCCTGTCAACTGGTGTGCAGTGTGATCTTAGTAACAACATGAGCACAAGGTAACGCGTTTAAAACCTGTCTACGATTTTCAACTGTAAATCCCATTTTCACCATCTGAAAACCAACGCATCCTTCAAATTAAATGATTAAATAGTCTTACTAAGTGTTTTTCTGATCTGACGTCCCCGTCAGGACGACATTTATTAATGCTTCCAAAACTTAGAGGCCTCGCTGTGGACCGTTGTGGTTCTAAAATCCAACTTGTAAATTGAGTCTGAGTCCAGGTCATGTGACCTTCTGGCCACTGTCAACACTGATCAGCACTGAGTTTCAGAAAGCCTGGGGGGGGGATGAGGAGGTGTTGAGGACCAAAGCGTCTCAGTCAGTGTCTGTATCTTTCTTTAGGATTAGGACGTGTTAGATGGCAGCCTGTTAAATGGATACAACCCTGGTAACTTTCAGGACTGTGGCCTCTGTCACAGCCCACTTTCTCCCTCTGCTTGAGTTTTCAGCTGAGCCGGCAGGGTGACCTGTGGATGGACGTGTCAGTCTGTGTGTTGCTCCACCTCTCTGGACCA